CCAATAGGAGTGCCCGTCCTCATCCAGCTGGCTCTGAACAGGCCAATTATCATCCAGAGATTTAAACCAAACCGTTCCTCCATCAGCTCCATGAATACCTTTAGTTTGAAGTGTGAGGAGGTCCAAACAGGAGAGTTTCTGTATGCATCATGAAGCGCACCTGTTAACCATTGTTTACTGTGATTTAATGAGCAGGTTCCTCAGCACCTGCAGCAGGACTGAAGGTGTTATTAGATGAGCTTTTAAAACAGTGTGAGGTATTCCAGGTCACCGCTCTGCTGCTGGACGTAGCTGGTTTCCTGAACATGGTCAGGCTTTTCCTCCCCCAACCGTCACATTTCCTGCCTTTTTCTCCCTAGCAGTGCATTCCTTCACATGGACTCATTATTCCAACAAACAACACTGATAAGACTAAAACCTACTTCGTGTTTCATAAACGATTCCTCTGGAGTTTTAAAACATAGCCAGAAGCCAGACTAATTTTATATTTCAGCGGTTTATTGCCTACAAGCTTTATTTCAAGTCTTTTTTTTTTTATATCTACATAGGATGACGACTACTTGACAACCTTTATTGGATTCCCCAATGAAACTGATAATAATGAAACTGATTCTATAATACTCACAGCTGTTTTAGAACAAGCTCATTCATCCTTACTTAACATCCCAGTCATTGGAAGCTCATCCTGAATTGTTCATAGGTGGCTGCAGATATCCTATATAGTATAAAGGTGCTGCACTATACTGCAGGGTTACCCTACATGGTGAAAAATATTTTCTCCATAGAAAGTTTCCCATGCTTTTTCCTCTTGTTTTTTAAGCACTTGTTTATGATTGCTAGAGATTATACTTTAAGTCCATGTTCAGACTCCATGTTCATATTGCAACTGAACTTGGCATCAATTTTTGTTTATTTATCATTGTTGTCACTGCTTCCATTATATCTGTCATTTATCAATGGTAAAAACTTCTAGTGACGTTTTAGTCCTGTAATAGTCCTGCCTTAAAAGAATGTACCGTAGGTGATATTAAAATGAATTTTCTAACCTGTTATTATGTTATATAATACAGTTATATTACAATGATATCTGTGTCAGTAACAGTGCAGTTATTACATTGTATTAATTACTAATGATACATACTATATAATTACGTTACTATATACATTGTTTTTAGTATCTCAATCATATGCAGGTAATAAATAGTTTCTACAAATAAGCATATTAATATAGGAAAGGTCCTGTATAAGGTTTACCTACTTACCTATAGGCTACTTTCATGGAGTTATTTAAGTGAATAAAGAGAAAAGCGTTTTAATTTGACGCGTTTTCTAAAACTGATTTAGATGCACCATAATGGTAAAAAGCAAACTTTATATAACATAAGATAAAGGGGCAAAGGGGTATTTTTTTACCAGGCTTCCAAAAGAAAAAACTAAAAAAAAAAAAATAAGCACAGTGATTAATAACAAGATCCAGTCAGTTGCACAAGGAGGTTTTTACAAGAAAGACCCAGCAAGGAGAGTCTAAGAAAGGGACCAAACCCTGGCTGTCTGTTTCATTTGCCTCGATCAGGATAAAACCAAAAACCAGCCCTTTTGCAGGTTCCCCTGTGAGGCCAGCGGCTCTGCGATAAGCTGAAGTTTATGCGCTCAACCTGTTGCGCTGTGGTCGTCCAAACAAAGGCTTTTTCACATGTTGTAATAATTTAAATAAACTCACCCAATGTTCCAAGTAACACCGCCAACTGGTAAAAGTTCATTATATATTCCGTTTTTACAAAATTAGGGCGTTTATCCGCCACTTCTGCATGTCGCTGTGCGCTCTGAGTGCGTTAGCTCCAGATTGGAGGCAGGCTGCGTCTAACGGGACTGTACCACTTCACTGACAGAGGGGGGGCCGGGGAAAAAAAGCACTTTATTCAGTCCCAACAAAAGATGGAGGATTATATATTTGAGTCCGAGAAGGCAGTATGGAGGACCAACTCTGCCATATTTAAAAATAAATACAAATATAAATAAATGCTCAAAAAAATAAATGAGCATACAATTAATTGCCCCAAAAATACAATAAACAAATAAATGTAGGTAGAAATCAAATTATACAGTGAGACATAAATGTATATATCTCTTTTAATTAGCTTCTTTATTTATTCGCCTTTGTTATTATTTATTAT